AGGAAGTAGAGTGGGTGCTATTTTATTGGTTTGCCGTAGAGCGATTGAAATTAACAGTTCTGCCGTTATTATGTGATCGGCACGGGTATCATGTAAAAAACCTACAAAACGTCAAAAAAACCTATAAGATGTCAACTTGCAGACTAGTTAGTTTTTAGGGCGCAGTCATTCCACGTTTGCTCACTAGGATCGTTGTGAACGTCCATCTATGGATGAATCACTCAACTAACGAATTATTGGTTGCATAGGTTTGTGAGGCTGAATGATCCGTGTCTGTAGTTTTTATCTCTGAGAAGAAAGTTGGTTAATTAGCAAGATCGCATCTGGACGATTATGTGTAATGTCTTATTCTTATGTGTATAAAATCAGTGATATTTGCTGTGTGAGAAAATCATTACTGAATATGCTGGCAATGAAGTATATCTATGACTGTGCCCGACGGGTTATTTTTATGTTGTGCTTTCTGAAGAGAGGTTATGTTCAAAGTTATAAATTACGAAAAACTGAGGAGAATTACAGGAACTCATCACCGCGCCCGCGTTGTGTGTAATTACTGTTAGCACGTATATGACTTGTAATTAGACAGTGTATAGTGAATATAATTATTTTTTATTTCTCTCATTTTTGAAATTCAGCATATTTGTATATGCAATTTCAAGAATGGATAAGAAAAAGTGGATGCGCAACTAATTTCTGGCTTTGAATCTCAATTAAGTGTATTTGAGACAAGAACCCAATGTAATTATGTAATTATAATCAACACATACCACTTACAGCTTAGGGTTCCAGTAATGCCATCTCGGAAACAGATTTTACATCACATCAGAGCCAAATACTGATAACAAGCCTCATGAAGTTTAGGCAACACGTACAACTAAGTGCTAAGTTAACAACTTGTAGAAAAACCTACATAATGTCAATAAAAACCAGCATAATGTCAAAAAAATCGGCATAATGTCACTTTTCAAGTTACGTGATACCCCTGCCGGTACAATGCTTCTTCGCTAGTAGGCGTAGGAAGTAGAAATAAAGGTGTAGCTGCCAACTAAGTGTACTTTCGTCAATCACGGTACTACTAACTTCTACGGACGGTAGCAGGAAGCCACAGTTCTCCGGCAACTCTGAGTGCCAGTGTCCGCTTTTGTGAAGGACGTCCACCCTCTTTCACGAGTATTCATTACGGTAGAATGACAGGTGATTACCTAGTAATATTTAAAAATTCCCCATATCGGCAAAAGAGAGAGAATTCTGATCCGTCAATGCCAAGTAGACAGAGCCATATCTTGTTTTGGTTTTTTGTACGCTACAGATTCATTTTGTACTTGCTAAAAGCCGTTTCATTTAGAATAGTCCATTTGCATACAAAAAACAAAACCCTACAAACTAGTTTTACTAGATTTAAAAATGTCACTTGCTGACCAGCTGTTCACCTCAGTAGACGTCAAAGCGTGATAGATGCTCGTGAAATAGGGTACATGTACATAGGTGCTACATCACCACTCAGAGAGTGGTAGCATTCACCAGCTACCAGCATTGACGTACTATGCAAACATATACTGAATATCTGTTTGCTTTCCACATCTGCTACCGTAATCTACAGTAGACAATGTTGTTAGGTAGATAGGTCTAGTCATTTGGAGAGAGGTGACAGAAACAATACGGATCTATTGAAAAACTCAGTATTGTGATGTGCTAAAAGGTATATTTTAGAATCCCCATTCTTTTAAATTCCTAAGGCATGAATTTTAATACCAGTTTGGACGTATAACGTATAACATAGAAGTATAAATTTTAATAAGGCGGTGCGTTGCGGAATATCAAAGCTTTTCAATGTTGATACGGTACGTTGCAAGCGCGTTCCCATTATAGTAATGGTTTGTCCAAAGGGAGTGATATTCTACGTTTTCGTTTGCACGTGCTTGGATAAAGTCCAATGCAAATACCTGTATCACATATAGCATGCATGACAGAATCCCGTCATGGGAAACAAGGTAGGTGGCATGTGAAAAGATTGTTTTCATTTATCATACCATGAAAACATTACTTAATTCAACGATAAGTTCAATGCAGGCAGTGCCTTATCTATATACATAGTGTTCGGAAGGTCGATATCAATCTCTTCAGAGGCGATTGTACACTGCATTTGGAACACTTGAGCTACATACACCTTGGTGCAAAGTAGGACCGTTTCTGAGCATGCACACTTTCGTGAAATCCTAGAAAAAAATTATGCGATAAACCATCGCAACTCTTTTGCTTTCCTATTTGTATCATTTAAAAGATCGCCTACACATTATAAAAAGTAATTCTGGTTTTCTGAATGGTTCGATTTTTCAGTGCGCTTGGCTTTTTGACCGAAAGAATTTAGAAAATTTAGTAATAGTGTGGATTAAAATCATTAAAAAAATCCTCCACATTTGCTCTTTCTTACGGTATGCCACACGAGGCGGTGCAACCATAAATTTCAGCAGAATGTAATCGAAAAAACAATATAAAATATATTTTTCGTGAAGCAAAGCACTTCATATTGATTAAACTATTCATTTACTCATTATAAAAATGCAAATTTTTGTTTTTTGTATGTTCAAACCTTTGTTTCGTATTCCTGTAGTAGTAGTCAGCTTACCAAGAGTTATTCGGTTTCAGAGTATTGTGTAGCTTTTCTGAAGATTAACTGGAAAGATAAAATATAAATATGCTTCAGGCCAAACGACACACCCACGGAGTACAAATTCATGTAAACCATTATTTCTGATTCATGTCCTCCCTGAGTGCCTGTTTTGTGCTTTGTAGTAGTATAAGCATCTTGGAATCCACTCTATTAAATAATTCATAAATTTTGTAAATCAAATCCATTCGAAAAGCCACGAAGCATATACAGGGTGTTATCTATTCATCTTAAAAGGTTTTCTATACTGTTAGAAAAAGGTATTTGAATGTTTCGCAGCACTGTTATATTCGTACTCTAAAAGACAGATTACGAGGGATGTCTTTTAAGTTTTGAATATGGAAATAAAACAACACGGTAGGTAGTTTTAAATGACTTTATTGTTTTTCGAAGTATTCTCCACGAAGATTAATACACATCTGCATGTGCTCGAACCAATTTTCGAAGCACTTATTTCACTCATTTGCTGGCAGATCCAAAGCGGCATTTTTGAATGCGTCAACTGCTTCTTCTGGTGACTGGAACCTTTGACCACGCAGTCTGATTTAATTTTCGGGAAAGTAAAGAAATCTTAGATCGGGACTATATGGAGGATGGTCCAATAATTCCACGTTTTCTACCGTTAAATACTGCCTTGTTTTTTGGGCTGTGTGCGAGCTTGCATTATCTTGGTGGAGGATGATTCTTCTTTCGGGGTTGATTTTACGGAACTCGGTGATGACTTTTAGCAAACAAATGCTGGTATACCAATCCGCAGTAACAGTTCTTTGCTTATTAAGAGGAATTGTTGCAATATGAGCCGCGTTTGATACAAATGTCGCTACTATCTTTTTCAAAACACTTCGAGAACGGATGACTTATGTTGGCTTTTCTTCACCTTGGAACACCCAAACAGCCGACTGTCATTTATTTTCTGGTTCATAACAGTAAATCCATGATTCATCACCACTAACAACGCTGTACACATTTCTTGAGTTTCCGGAATTGAAACGGTCAAGCGTATTTGACACCAATTAACCCTGGCTGCTTTCTGCTCTTCAGTCAACAGGTGGGGTATCCAACGAGACACTAATTTTCTTACTCCTAATTCTTCATGTAAATTTTTTTGAATTGAGGTCTTTGAGATCTTCAAGGACGCCTCAATCTGGCGATATGTCACATGTGTGTTTTTGGTGCACCCACCCTGGGATCGTCGTTAAGACTCACCCGTCCACGTTTGAATTCTCCATACCAACGGGAAATTGTCGACTGATGTGGCGCTTCGTTGCCGAAAACAGACAGTAACTCAGCAAGGCATTCTTGTTGCGATAATTGACTCTGAAAGTTGTCTGTGTAAATTCTAACATAAATTTCCTCACCACCCGACGGTTTTACACACGATCAAGTGTAAACTTTGTTTTTACTTCAAATATATGACTTCTTAGCAAAGAGTTTAAGGGCCAGCCAGTGGCGCTTCCAGGATTTCAGTCTGGGAGAGGTAAAATGGAAAGCGAAATCACAGTGTGACGTACTGAAGTGTTATGATGATTAAACATTAAAAGCATGGATATGAATTTGTTACAGTAATTTCTGTAGAAAATTCATGCAATTTTTTTAAATTTTGAATCATACGAAATCAAAGTGTAAATAAAGCAAACTCTCGAGCAATCTTCATATATTAACATAAAATTGCAAATTAATATAATCTATCACATACTTTTCTATATAACAATGTCAGACCAAACAACAAAAAATACATCTTCATGAAAAAAATAACAATATGAAATAGGTTACGACTTCTATAAAGTATAAAACTGAATGTAAATCAAAATAAAATTCTTAATCATGAGAAAAACACAAAAAATGTTCATTGCAAAAAACAAAAACATATAAACTATGAAACTACATCAGTTCACAGTCTCGAAATAAAACAATCATTACATTAGCTTAGAAAGTGATTTGAACAGAATTTGAACAGACTTTTATATCAATCTGCTGTCCAATTAATAAAACCATATATCTTGATTGGATACTTTGGAAAATATCACCGTGGGGGTCTAAACGTAAGTAAATCCTTAACTACATCTGGTTTTTTATTTTTTGGCCAACAGAAGGGAGACGGATTTGAGAGACAACCTTAGGCAAAGTTCAGGTGTTATCATATTACAAAATCAAGGCGCCTATTCTTTTTGCTGGTGAACCGATCTATGATTGTATTCACGTCTATTTTAATATCCCTATGCATATACAAAAGAGCTAAACCCACTAATCGCTCTTGTAACATAGTTGAGCGCAGCCAAGTTTTTATCCTCTTTAGATGGGAGAAACTTCTTTCAGATGTCGCAACACTTACCGGCAATCAAATCTCTCTCGTACAACTGAAATATTTCCTATGAGTTTGACAGCGTATTGTTTGTCGGTTGTTTTTGATTGTAAAATCTTACTCAGGTTGACTGTTAAAGCTAATATATCACACAAATCACACAAACACTTTAGTGATACGATAAATTCGGTGGAAGTAATGGCAGTCTTCAAAGACTCCGCTTTTGAAGAAGCTTCGCGGTCTTTCCAATTTGATATGATATTTAGTACCTCTACAATTTTCTCGAATTTGCTGTCAAATTGGAGCACAGAATCATGTCTCTCAGTCCACCGTGTGTCGCACATACTATGAATTTGATATCCGTCTAGTTTTCTTTTTAATAATAATAATAATTTCTTTTAGCGAATGTTTTGAAGAACGCAATTACTTCCTTCATTATACCTACAGTATTTCTTACTGCTTGGACACTGCTGCTTTTTGAAATCTAAAGATTAAAGGCATGATTTGCGCATGGCCTTTTCACAGCATTTGGCAAACATTTTTGCAATTCCATTACAGCGCCCTTTTGTTCACCCAATATTAGGTTACACGTATCAATACCAATGCCCATACATAGTTTTGAGTCTAAGTTATTGGTTTTAATGAAATGCTTGACTGTTTGAGCAAGAATTTGACCTGTCAGTTTGGGCTCCATTGTATCTTCACAAATCGCATTAAGTCCTCGTAAATATGTTTTTTATAACAATACCGCAATACGATTGACATTTGTGATTTATGGCTAATGTCTGTAGTTTCGTCAAATATAATCCTGTAATACAGACTTTGCCTAACGCGACTTAAAACTATATCCAAAATTTCTTCGCCACAACATTCTATAATTTCATTTTGGATGCGGCTGCTTATGTAGGTAGCATGCGCTTTTGAGTTCTCTAAGTTTTTTTCGATAAATTGCCGCCGCTCTCGACTCTAAACCGTATTAGTTCTCTAAAATTCCCTTCATTATTAAAGACATCCTCATCATTCGTGCTGAGATTAGAAAAAATTCGTCCCCTAGCTCTATGCCCTCTAAGTGGTATATTTTGGCGTCTTAAAAAAATTATAGATTCTATTATAGGAGTCAGCCTTTGCCGATTTTCTGATACTTGCTTAATTCGCTCTGAACCTATTATATTTCTTATATCATTCTCCGGATTTTCGTAAATCTTTAAAAAGTTTGTAGCATCTGAAACTGCTTCTCTATGATATACTGAGTTCTCATATGTCTCACAATCACCGGTTTTGCCATACAATTTCGAAAATTTCTTTAGTAGTACGGTAACGTACGGTAAAGTTTTCCCAATTTAGTTGATTTATGTACTTCTACTAATTTTGCAAAAACCACGCAATATTTACAGAAAAGCCCTTGTAGTTCCTCTGAATATGACAGCCAAGGAAATTTCTCAAAGGGTTTTTCTGATAAGTAACACGTAACTTCTTTATTATTTTTCAAGTGTGTGGAATTGGGATATTTAAAAGTCATTATTGATCATTGTACACCTCAATAAGGTATATTTTTCATAGGAAGACAAGTTGCCGCTGAAATTTACATACAGCGCAACATCAACCAAATTGGATCCTTTAGGTTTTGCACCCGATTGTTTAACACTTGGTTCAGCATACCGTGCAACATCAAGAAATTTTGAAGTGGCAGGCTCAGGTTGAATTGTAGGATAATCATCAGTTTTTTCCGATAATTTTTGTGCTGGTGGATCAGACAGATTGTTTTATTTAGAAAGAAACCAATCGATGGTATTCTATTTCCTTTTACTCATCCTGACAACAACAGCCGTCAACCAGCACTAAAAGTTACACAAATATTGTCAAATAAACGGCATTATTGGTTTCCACGCATTCACGTATCTCATAACAAAGAACCTTTTCTGCTTGGAAAACAAGATTTCTTAAGTTCACGCAATTTTCAAAAACTAAATATATAATTTGCCATCTCGGATGAACGAAATGCACTGAAGTGCTCATATACTGGGACCTCCGAGACAAAATAGACATAGATGATAATGATAGCTGGAGTATTGACCAAACACTTCGTAATTGAAATTATATTAAGTTTCCATTTTTCCGTCTGTCATTTTTTTAGACACGATTCTTTTATAGTATAAAAATTAAAAACAAACAAAAATTAATTTTCTGGTTTATGCGTGGAAAATAAAAAATCAATAGAACATAGAAAATTGCGTTAATACCAACCAGATCGACATAACTCGGCTTTTTCACTTCTCAGCCAAATTTTGCTGCGGACTCCGGACTGCTACAGGATTTAGACACTAGACCAGACCATAACAGACTAGACTATACCTGTTCCAACAGGAAGAAACGCACACCGTTGCTGTTGGTGGGATAGTAGTCGCTAGTCGCATGCGCACTGAGCGGCTTGGCAGTGTTGCCGCTATCCTCTCTTAAAGTTACAGATTTGTTTATAAGACGTTTACTTTATACCACCTTTTCAAAGACTGCTCCAGTCATCTGAGCTCAGAGCTTCAAAATCAAGTGTGTGTTGGAAAGAGAAACTCTTGTCCCAGATGATCGTTGGGCGCACCTCGTAATGTTGCTTCAAATGTATGTCGAATGATGAACATTTAATTTTATAAAAAATTCTGATTGAGTTCCTATACCTTCTGTTCTTGAAGTGCTGATGATCTAGGCTGAATACTTTCGATAGGCTTAAATGAACGTAACAAGTAACAACGATGTGTCCATAGTTTGCTGAATATTTGTATTTCAATAGCAATGCAAATGTTGGTTCTCATAGCCTATTCAAAGCAATGAGAAAACCGATCTTCAGTCGGCCATACCTCAGGAGCGGAAACCGAAACTTATATAGGGTGTCCCAGAAGTCGACGTCTTGCCCTGAGCGGGGGATAGGCCAAATAATAGTAGTTATCGGAAAAATTTTAAAAAATCGGAAAAATGACTACAAATTTCAATATTTCTTAGACGGAGTGACGGACAGTGTCATTCTACGTAGTGACAGCAAGACAGATAGTGACGCCACTTTTATTAATTCGTGAATGTACTTATTAAATTCACAATAAATGTTCAAACTGCATTTCTTCAGCAGCGTTTGCAAGCTAGGCATCTTCTTAAAAATGATCGGATCAGTATTTTCTGACTGTCTGTAGAATTTGTTGATGATCACTTTAGAAACTTTTGCTTAATTGCCATTCATCTTCATTAGAAAATATTTGAGAGATCAATACTAAAATTCATAGGAAATGAGAGGAAAGTACGAGCTTAATCTGCTTAACAATGTTCACGTATTTTTCGGAGTTTTCCATCCATTGAATCGGATTAATTGATTTTTTGTTTATATTGGCTGAGGCGTATTTTTAGGGTTCACGGTTGAATAATTCAATTCATACATCAAGCGAGCTTTCTCGTTGTGTATTTCGCGGCATTAATAGATTTTTAAACGATGTTCAATATATTCGACAAAACAACTGCCACGTGTATTTGATACAGCGACGTAACGATGGCTCCGGGTAGGGCAGACTAGTACATACAAGAAAATGAAACAAAAAATATTCTTAAAAAGAAGTTTTTTAGCAGTTAACACAAAGGACAAAATACTTAAAAACAATATTTACGAATGAAAATATACTTCACACTTGTTAACATTTAAACCATAACGAATATGTTGTTCCCAAAGTTCTTATCAAATAGCTTAATAGCCAGCGACACTCGGCCCTACGTGATCGGAAATGTTGATAAGAATGGTATCAGAGTGTAGCGGATAATGGGGTTAATACAGGTGAGAAATGCCTGACGAGCATATGGTGCTGCAAAGATCTTCAATTAATTATTAAAAAGTGGTAAAACGCAGGAAAATTACGTTATGAGGAATGTTAATAGAAGCTACATGGGGTTGTAGCTTGTGGTGAGCAAACCTTTGCCGGGCAGGCTGTTAGAAGGCATGTTAACGACTATTTTTTAAAGTGAAGATCAGGCTCTCAAAAACAAACAAATGTCGGACCGGGAGACTGCTCTCCCAAATAAGATGTCAAGCGGCTTTAGCAATCGACTTTCGAGCTTATATTTTGCGAAACTAATGTATTCTGAGAAACATTTGTTTTTGTTACCAGTTTGTCTTAGTACAACCTGTTATTACGGAAAATGTCAACGCGTGCACTATGGACCTGTTAACAGGTGATATTTTATAGGAATACCTGCATAATGTCAAGAAAAAACTACTTAATGTCATATAAAATTGACATAATGTCACTTTAAGTTACGTAAGGCGAGCCCTCTAGGACCAGTGTTGCTGAGCCTACCGATTTTCCGGTGTTTCTACCGAAATGAGACTTTATTTACCGAAATACCGAAAACGTGCTCATTTTGCACGTATTGCTGTATGACCTGTGGTCAGATTACCAGATGTTTTCAGCCTGGTACTTTGTTAGTGTTAGTGTTAGGTTCGGGTGATGAATCCACCCACTGTGAACATGGTGCGGTGAGCAAATCTAATTGACACTTCCACCATTTCTGGAAATAGCAACCGATGTTATAGCACATTCGCCATTTTTCAAGTCGTATGCGAAAATACAAAGTAGTTTTATAAGAAACGATATTTGAAACATCTTATGAGAGGACTGACATGTTAGCAGTTCCTATTCGTATACTATTCAAATGGATAGGTGTAGGTTGTTACGCAAAGGTGCGTCATAACAGATAAACGTTTATGTAACGGAACAAAGCCTTTTTATTATAAAATTTTTGGCTGGTTGAGAAAGTTTCCATTTTTGAAGACTTATTACTCTCACTCATTGAGTGCCGATTATTAAAGTTGCACGGATAGGTCTACGTATTTTTTCGCGATGTCATACGAGTAGTTTGGATTGAGCCTTCTAAAGTTTGAAATTTTTGAGCCCTTTAGCGAAGGTCTTTACTAATGAAAATCGTGAATAGCGGCAATAAACAAAGCTTCGAGATTAAGTATTTAAAAGTTTTAGCCCTCCGAAAAATTAAGAAGTATGAAGTAGTATAGAGACAAACCAACGGCAGATAGACAGGCGACGGCTTCGGCTGAAATACTTTTATATAATACAATATTTTTTTTGTCATTTTATATCTACTGCAATTCAGTTTATGTTATTGTTCTATTTCTGGACTGTGTGACTAGAAAATGGCGTTAATTCGATTGATTCTATACCTCCCACGTCTTCGAAAAAACTTCTGGTACAAATTTCCATGTATTGCAATGGCATCAAACAGACGTAGGTTTTGTTAGAACCTGCTGGCGCCATCTTGGAAAAAAAATTATATGAAAGCGAGGGTCTTGTGGCACATCATTTTGATGCTCCTGACGAGTACTTTATAACCTTAGAATATAAAGTTAATACCTTTACCTACTACAAAATGGTGGTACATTTAATACTTACTTGAACACAAACCCACTAACATGCATATCTTTACAAATAATTGTAATTCCTGCCGTATCCACAGCAACAGCGATAAAAACGTGTTTTATTATTTTTTGTTGACAGTGACAAGAATATCAGTACGAAAACAAACATCATTGTACAGTTAAAATATTCGTATCTAGTTTTCGGTTTTAGTGCTAGATACTGTTTGAACTAGGTGTATTTTTAAAATGGTCAATTCTCGTCCATTGGAAAAAAAATCGAAGCAATTTTTATTTATGGTGCGACTCGTGACTTTTATAAGACCGAAAAGATTTTGATGATAGTTTCCCGAATCGTCCTTCCTTCTGTAGAAAATATTTAAGGGAACTTGTATCTAAATTTACAGCTACTGGTAGTGTAAACAACAAAAAGCCCCAGGTCATCCGACCATCCCGGAAGAAAAGCAAGTTCAAATAATTGGTAAGATCATAGTAAATCTCCAACAGTCTACTGCCTCCATCGCGAATGTATGTGAGGTTTGTCGTTCTACTGTATGGAGACGTTCGAAAAAGAATAAGTATCACCGATACAAAATTCAAATGGTACATCAGCTAACTGAGGATGACCCTGATCGAAGAACAGAATTCTGCGAGACTATGACAGAAACCATTGCGCGGCATCCTACCTATATCCGAAATATTTGTTCTAGTGATGAATGTACATTTTTTCTCAACGGTAATGTGCATAGACAAAATTCTCGTTACTGGAGTGACACCAATCCTCACGTCTTCCGGGAAACTCATACTCAATATCCACAAAAAGTTAACGTGTGGGCTGGGATATTGGGAAACCATATTATAGGGCCTCTATTTATCGAACAAACTTTAACTGGGAACTGTATTTGGATATGCTGGAAAATACTATTGATCCTCTAATCACCGAAATCGTCGATGCGAATCCTAATGAATTCGATACTGATATTGTATTCCAAGCAAGATGGTGCTCCACCATACTACTACAGACAAGTTAGGAATTATTTAGATAACAATTTCCCCGGTTGTTGGATTGGCCGTCGAGGTCCTGTGGAATGGCCAGCTTGCTCGCCAGATTTGACACCTTCAGACTTTTTTTATGGGGCTATTTGAAGCAAAAGTTGTACGAAACTGTACCTGCTTCAATATTGGATATACGGCTGAGAATGATACATACCTGTATTTGTAGAAATATCGATGTTACTATGTTTGAAAATGTTCGACGAGAAATTACGGACCGGCTGTTATTGTGTCAAAAAGTTCAGTGCAACCATTTCCAGCATCTTCTAAACTGAACTCAACGTATTTATTCGAATTATCAAGTTACATGTCAATGTATTGAGGTAATTATTAAATGTACGACCATTTTGTACTAGGTGAAGGTCATATAATTTTTTTTCCATCTGTCAATTTTACTCTAAAATGGTATCCACACATCAATTTCATTACCTCAAGGTTTAATTTTTTGAATTGATCCGTTTAAAAAATCGAAGGGGAGGGGGACATTAAAGAAAATCACTGTATAATATTACCTCACGAAATCAAGTAACCTCATTAAATTACACCCTAAACATAAGGCAATGTCCTGCCCAACTGTATGCATATCATGTCACCGCGGCATCTGCTATCTGTTTTTGTGTTCCGGATCCACTACCAAAGATGCAATATTTACAACCCCGTAGCACTTTGTAAGTGGACCGACAGGTACGCGATCTGTCGGCTGAAAGTACTTTTTCTTTTTAAGGACAAATGAACGGGGAAATCTGTTATATGTGAAATTTTTCTAGGTACATATAATTACCGGGGCTGGAAGTGTACTAATATAGTAATATCAAAAAATTGATATATCGTCGCCTTAGAAGAAGACTGTCACAACTCGAAAAACACATTTTTTTATTTTTTTCCACGGAACAACTCAAAAAGATGCCTAAAGTTTGGAGAAAAATTGTTATAAATTGATCTCGACTACTTGCCGCGAGATGGCGGAAGTGTCTCTTTGGATCTACCAAATTTCATCGTAAGATTACGCGGAAGACCGTCACATAGCCAGTTGTGTCTTGAACTCCATACAGTGTGGTTCGTTTGATTATAGAAAATAGTTACATTTCGACAAATCCGCGGAGTACAGTGATTAGTTTGGTGGTAGAGTGTCATATTTTGTTTTGGAACAGTCTTCTCCATAAGGTAAGTAAGTCTTGTATTAAGGTGTTTTGGTGGAATACAGTTATATCTTGAATTAGTTCACTATTGATCTGAATTTTGTATCTTTTGCCTCATATATTTGCAATAAAACAGAACTATTTAGTGATATGACATTTTTCCGGTAAAAGTAAAAAGCAAGTTCATGTATTGCGACTATAATATTTTGATATATAACAGTATCGTTCTTAGGAAATTGACCATATTGGTTGTAGTTTATAGTTGCAACTCAGATTGAAAGTGTCATTAATTGATCGAACACTTGCATATCATTGAGACTGTTAAGGATCTTACACCAAGTTTGGCTATAAAAATACTCTAAAAATAGGAAAATTCTTTAATTTTCAGTTCGATACTATAGTTTCTTTGATTAGCGGTTGTGTCCATACGATAATCCTATCGAGAAACCTGATGCAATATTGAAGCATTTTAAGCTAAATATGTATTCGTATTCATTCAAGGTATACTATGGCCATTAGCAGCAGATCACGTTTGATTATGAAACTCTCACGTCAGCTGGAGCAGGACAATCAAGAATTTAATAAATGGTCAGTAAAGAACTCTGAGGCTACGAAGCCCACACAAGAAGCTACAACTACGTCTACAGACAAATCTATATCTGCTGTAGATACTGAAACATTTTCAGGTTGGTACTTTGCAATATAACACGTACTCAAAATTTATTTATCTGTATCTTTCAGTTGCGGACACCTTGAAAACTCCTACTTTACCTATTAATCTCACCAGATCAACTGACTATGTGGGAAAATTAGTCTTTCCTGGTAATATGGACAACTGCGCAGGTTAATATAATGCTAACAATTATTCTAACTCGGGTACCGAAAAAAAAGGGAGCAGCGAAACATAATTATTACACGCCCCCGTCTTTGGTAAGATAAAGTCGGTAGGCGGGTATCTCACCATATTAAAATGGGTTAGCATGGGTGTGCAGTGTTTTGCTGCTATCTTCCTTTTCGATGACAGAGTATAGCAGAGCATTCTTTTATTTTCAGTGGCTTCAAATATATCGTCTGGTGAGGGTAATACCAAGGAGAACAATGGTTCTGGGTATTGTAGGAGAACTTCGAATGAAGGTATACCTAAATCTAGCTAATGAAATATTTTTTCCAAAACAATTTTTTTAGGAAGTGAATGTACAAATAGTGAGGGTGAACCTTATGGATCGGATGACTCGGTAGCGGACCCTGACTTTATAGCATCCGATGGCGAGGTACCAGATATAGAAAATAATCCAAGCTTGACGAACATTGAGGCTGAATATCAAAATGAAACAGTAACAGTTGGTGTTCAAAAAAGAATAGGACGAAAGCGGAAGTCAAACAAAGATGCGTGGCTGAAAAATTCTGCAAAAAGACTTCGAAATAGTGGTCAAGCATATCGGTCAGCAAAACAAGTGGAGCAAGTTGATGGGGCAAAAAAATATGTGTATGTTCAAAGAGATGAGAAAAAGATGGGACCTCCCTGCAATGATAAGTGTCGGCTAAAATGCTTTGAAAAAATAGGACCTGAAGCTAGAAACACACTATTTAAATCCTATTGGGAAATGGGTGACCTTCAAAGACAGCGTAATTTTATACTCTCCAATATGACGCCTATCCAACCAAAATACAGATACGAGAAAGCTGACAGTTGTCGTCGTCTCAACAATGCCTTTTATTTGGGAATCGGAAATGAAGGAAGAATCAGAGTTTGCAAATATTTCTTCATTTCAACCTTAGGCATCAACTCTAGGGTGATACGAACTGTTGTTATGAAGCAAGAAAATGTATGCAGTGGTATGCTCAAAGTCGACTTAAGAGGAAAACATAAAAGTCATGTGACAGTTCCAGATGAACTCAAAAATGGTGTAAGACAACACATAATAAGCATTCCTAGAATCGAAAGCCACTATTGCCGATCGCAGACACAAAAAGAGTATATAGAAGGTGGAAAGACAATTTCGCAGCTTTACACTCATTACAAAAAAACTTGCACAGACCAAAACTTACCTTTTGTCAAATACTCTATGTACTACACCATTTTTAATACTGAATTTAATATCGGATTTTTTAACCCCAAAAAAGATCAATGTGAGCTTTGTCTTGCCTTTGCAAATGCAAATGAAGAGAATCGCTTACAAATGCAAGACCCATATAACGAACACATTACCGAGAAAGAGCTAGCTCGCGTTGAAAAAGCCAATGATAAGAATTCTGACAAAATTGTCGTTGTTTACGATCTACAGGCGGTTCTACCATGTCCATCCGGAGAGGCTCAGTCATTTTATTATGTTTCTAAGTTGAACGTTTTCAACTTTTCTATGTTCCGCCTACAAACAAAAGATGTTACATGTTACCTTTGGCATGAGGGACAAGGACATAGAGGTGCAAACGAAATCGGATCTTGTGTTTGGGACTACCTGGAGAATCTGGATCAAGAAATTGACTCGCTGGGCACAAATGAAAAAAAAGATGTAGTGTTTTATTCCGACAATTGCGTTGGACAGCAGAAAAATAAGTTTATGGTCGCACTGTATGTCTACGCTGTTTGTAAACTAAAGTGTATACAATCAATAACACATAAGTTCCTGACAGTTGGTCATACCCAAAATGAGGGTGATAGTGTACATTCAGTAATTGAAAGGCGGGTTAGAAGATTTAAGAAAAACGGTCCAATCTATGTACCTGAGCAGTACGTCAATATAATACGAGATGCGAGGAAAACGGGGAAACCTTATGCTGTTAAAGAAATGTGTTACCAAAGTTTTTTTGATCTCAAAGACCTCACTAGTCAGATAGGACTAAATATCAACAAAATTGCTGACGCTAGAGTAATATCTGTCAACAAAGATCAGCCTACAGTCATATTAATGAAAGACTCCTTTGGTCAAGAGGAATTCAGTATAACCAACTTGTTTAACTCACGACGTAAACCTGTAAGCATAGAAGATTTACAATTAAAACAAGCTTATAGATCGAAGCCCGGAATAACAGATAAAAAAAAGAAAGGTTTGCTGTCTCTGATTTCAAAACCGGGAACAAAAAAATCGCTAACACGACCGGTTCCCACGTATTATGAAGACTACTATAAAAACTTATGAATCTATTGTAGCCAGTTGTCATAAATTCAATAAAGTCTGTCAATATTATAACTTTCTTTGATTAGACCAATATATTACTCATCTAATATTTTTTGAGAAAAATAGTCACAACTATACTATTTTCAAAAATCTGAAGCGGTAATGCAAAATAGAAATAAATAAGTCTTTTTATACTGTTTCTGACATAATGTTATGTAACAGTATGTATTATATCAGTGAATAACCTGTTAGAAAATTAAGATTTTGCATTACGAAAATAATGGAATCTTTAACCGGCTCTCACGAAAAAGCGCAAATTTTGAGTTGTATCAGTCTTCTTCTAAGGCGACGATATATATATATATATATACTTTTTTTAATTCTCTCTAGCTTTCAATGGACTTTGCCATCATCATCAGGAGCTGCAATTACAATGATAACAGTAGCAACAAAGGTGTAAAATGAATTTAAATTGACTCAACTTACAGTAGTATGTGAGAATGTTGCTAATTGTTGTTTTCGTATAGGATGAGGGAAACGTCCAGTAACATGGTGAGAGCTGAATAGGTTACACAATAGTCAAAATTTATACAAAACATGACAAGAACACGTTAAAAACAGATTAAAAATTATTTTAAAAAATTAGAACATTACATCGTGAAACCACCTGATGATTGCACAAATTAGTGGTCATGGAATGATGAATTGATGAGTGACATGAAACCCTTTGACAGAAGGCCGAAGGATGTCAATGTCAGTATTGAAAGATGGAACGAATTGTGGGCGTGTGCCAAAAACGTTGCCAAATCACTTCAGATGAAGAGATTTTCAGAATTTTATGATGGAATTTGTTAAACCGACCAGAGGCAGTTGAATAAACTATATTATTATTAATGGGAATTTAAATTAACAATTATTAATAAATCGTGAGGAGAGAATTATTATATTTTGAGTGGAATGAAATTTACTGGTGGAAACGGCCAAAACACAGATTCTAATTATGGTTGTGAAGAGTTGAAATTTGGGGAGATATGTAAGTTCTCCAATTTTTCGCAGTTTAGCAAATATGAGTAAATGACACTCAGTTGTTTAACATCTGTCTTTTTGTTGATACAGTTGTTATTCATGAAATGTGGGACATTTCCAGGAATAAACGTTTGGAAAGGTGTTTTTCTTTATCAAGAACTTTGATACTTGTGTAATTCATAGAATGCCCTGTTGTGTTAACATGAGATGCTAGAGCGCATCTTTCAGGATGAAGCCTAGCATCACTTTTGTGTGATGTAATCCTTCCTTTAAGAGATCTGGAGGTCTGACCTATGTATATTTGGTTGCAGTTGTTGCAATTGATGGAGTAGACTGTGTTGGTTAAGCCAAGCAGCGGGACTTTGTCTTTCATTTTTGAAAAAATGCAGTTTATAGTGAGGACGGATTTGCAAGCAATTCGAAAGTTCAAAGGACTGCACAATCTGATCAGCTTAGGGGTCAGTTCCTTGATGTAGGGCAGGACAGCAAAACCAGGTCTGGAGTCCGGGTTGGTGCTATTACTGTTAGGATTGATGTTATTATTGGGAATTACATCAGTTCCGTTATTAGGGGTTGTGCGACTATTACCTGCATCACCAGAGTTCGGCAAAATATTGGAAGGTGAACTAAAAATGATCTTGTTAATCAGACACTTCGGATAACCATTATTGATGAACAGTTTTGATAGTTTACGTAAATTTGAGGTGTGGAAGGTATTATCTGAGATGCTGATTACCCTTGTTTTCATCTGTTTTACCAAATTGATTTTAATCCCTAGCTTATGGTATGACCTAAAATTGAGAAACCGACCTGAGGCCATAGGTTTCTGGTACCAGTCTACCAATAAACTGTTGTTGTTGGTGCGAATGAGTCTTGTGTCTAGAAAGGGGACAGACAGGTTCTCATCTTCTTTTTCAATGGTAAATTGGATGTAGGGGTCATAGCTGTTGAATTCTCTGACAATACCATCCAGACCTATGGAAGGGAGGCATAAAATAATGTCATCTACGTATTTTTTTATGAAGAAGAGGTTATAGGGTAGTGTCGGAATAACTGTATCAAGCAGATCATCCATGACATATTCCGCCAAAATTGGTGACAGAACAGATCCCATAGGACAACCATGTGTTTGAGAATAGATTTTGTTGTTGAAAGAGAAATAATTGTTATGAAAAAGGAATGTTATAATGTTGGTGAAAGATTCTAGAGATATGTTGCAGTGTTGACTTATCTCATTCCAGTGTTTATTAATAGTTCTTGTACATGCATCCAGATAGATGTTGCTGAATAGCGACACCACATCAAGACTGGCGATAATATGATCGGCTGGTATTGTCAATCTATTGAACTGACGAGAGACCTCAAATGAGTCTTTGATGTAGTAATCATTGTCTGCATGTGCTGATTTTAGTGTTGTCGATATTAATGAAGACAAAGCCTGGGTGGCTGAACCTATTGATGCAACTATAGGTCTTACTGAGAGTACAGGTTTGTGAATTTTCGGAAGTGCATAAAATTTGGGAGGGACAGAGTTATAAGTAGTCAAAGTTCTTTTTTGTTCTTGGGTTATTTGTCCAGTGCTGAGGAGTTCCTTAACAATGTCATTACTTTTCTTTTCCACTTTAAGTGTGGGATCTTTATTAATTTCATGATATGATGGGTCATCATTGATGAGATTGTTGCAAAGATCTAAATAGTGTTGTTTAAGCATTATCACTGTAACATTGCCTTTGTCAGATCTTGTAACCATAAGTTCAGGATGTTGTTTTAGAAATGTTCTAGTTATGTTTAAAAGGTTGTGATAAAAGGAATGTTTTTTATTAAGATTGTTATTATGATAGTAGTTAGTGATGAGGTTAGTGGAACGAGTTGTGAAAATGTTTCTTTCAGTGTCATCACTTATGGAGGATGCTATTGTGTCTACATCCGCTAAGATTGATCTGATTGGAATGTCATTGTTAACAATCGGCTCTACACTGAACTTAGGCCCTAAGGAAAGAAATTTTAATATGTCATGAGGGATGTCAACGTTACTGAGATTTTTTATCCAATTTTGTTGAGTGTTGAGGAAGGTTTTTTTGGTGTCATTCAACAATCTGTCAAACTTACGAGTGTTGGAGTTTTTTATGTTATGAAAGATTTTATTGTAATGTCTGAGTTGTCTATATTTGAAATTATCAAAAATTAAGGGAGAAGTGGAAGAAATTATGTCACTTTGGAGTGAATTGAGTATGGAATGAAGTTTTTTCAACTGTCTGTGGCAGGAAGATATCTCAAGCGTGAGTATTTTGTCACCTAACCTGTGCAGACGATTTTTCATCCCATCTTCTATTGAATGGCTTTCTAGTAAGTGTGTGATTGATGTTAAACGGTGGGTGATGTGATGTGGTGTAATGCCATGTTTTCTACATTTTAATAAGAAAATCCGTCGATTGATCTCCTGTGCCAGTCGTTTTCTGCCCTTGATCCAGTCCTTCATCATTATTATCAATACCAGCCGATCATATTATCGCCAGTCTTGATGTGGTGTCGCTATTCAGCAACATCTATCTGGATGCATGTACAAGAACTATTAATAAACACTGGAATGAGATAAGTCAACACTGCAACATATCTCTAGAATCTTTCACCAACATTATAACATTCCTTTTTCATAACAATTATTTCTCCTTCAACAACAAAATCTATTCTCAAACACATGGTTGTCCTATGGGATCTGTTCTGTCACCAATTTTGGCGGAATATGTCATGGATGATCTGCTTGATACAGTTATTCCGACACTACCCTATAACCTCTTCTTCATAAAAAAATACGTAGATGACATTATTTTATGCCTCCCTTCCATAGGTCTGGATGGTATTGTCAGAGAATTCAACAGCTATGACCCCTACATCCAATTTACCATTGAAAAAGAAGATGAGAACCTGTCTGTCCCCTTTCTAGACACAAGACTCATTCGCACCAACAACAACAGTTTATTGGTAGACTGGTACCAGAAACCTATGGCCTCAGGTCGGTTTCTCAATTTTAGGTCATACCATAAGCTAGGGATTAAAATCAATTTGGTAAAACAGATGAAAACAAGGGTAATCAGCATCTCAGATAATACCTTCCACACCTCAAATTTACGTAAACTATCAAAACTGTTCATCAATAATGGTTATCCGAAGTGTCTGATTAACAAGATCATTTTTAGTTCACCTTCCAATATTTTGCCGAACTCTGGTGATGCAGGTAATAGTCGCACAACCCCTAATAACGGAACTGATGTAATTCCCAATAATAACATCAATCCTAACAGTACTAGCACCAACCCGGACTCCAGACCTGGTTTTGCTGTCCTGCCCTACATCAAGGAACTGACCCCTAAGCTGATCAGATTGTGCAGTCCTTTGAACTTTCGAATTGCTTGCAAATCCGTCCTCACTATAAACTGCATTTTTTCAAAAATGAAAGACAAAGTCCCGCTGCTTGGCTTAACCAACACAGTCTACTCCATCAATTGCAACAACTGCAACCAAATATACATAGGTCAGACCTCCAGATCTCTTAAAGGAAGGATTACATCACACAAAAGTGATGCTAGGCTTCATCCTGAAAGATGCGCTCTAGCATCTCATGTTAACACAACAGGGCATTCTATGAATTACACAAGTATCAAAGTTCTTGATAAAGAAAAACACCTTTCCAAACGTTTATTCCTGGAAATGTCCCACATTTTCATGAATAACAACTGTATCAACAAAAAGACAGATGTTAAACAACTGAGTGTCATTTACTCATATTTGCTAAACTGCGAAAAATTGGAGAACTTACATATCTCCCCAAATTTCAACTCTTCACAACCATAATTAGAATCTGTGTTTTGGCCGTTTCCACCAGTAAATTTCATTCCACTCAAAATATAATAATTCTCTCCTCACGATTTATTAATAATTGTTAATTTAAATTCCCATTAATAATAATATAGTTTATTCAACTGCCTCTGGTCGGTTTAACAAATTCCATCATAAAATTCTGAAAATCTCTTCATCTGAAGTGATTTGGCAACGTTTTTGGCACACGCCCACAATTCGTTCCATCTTTCAATACTGACATTGA